GCCACCTGGGAAAGCCCCCAGCATTGGTCTCTGCATTTTTATTTTTTAGTTTATTTAAATGTAGTGGTACAATTTAGGCAAATGTAATAACCACAGTCATCATGGGGAATTTAGTGGGTTTTGTTTTGATTTGTTTTATAAGAATACAAAATAAAAAAAAAAAAAAAAAAAAAGCAATAAAAATTATACAAAATTTCATTAAACAATGTAGTAGAAATTCACTGATGGTTGCTACATTGCATGATGTTATCTTCAAATTAGTTGTTGTTTAGGTTAGCAGATGTAAATCTGCAAAATTGGTTAAAACAAAATAAGACAACAACAACAAAAGCTATAAGGAATTTTTAAAAGGGAGAATAAAAAGAAAAGAAATGTTGAGCATTAACTGCTCCCTTCAAAAGACCAGCAGAAATCCGTAGTACAGTTATCCAAGCCGCCCTGCATATATACCTAAGCACACAATTACGGGGAATGTGTATCTGTACCCAGTATGTCTGATTCCTCTGTTTTCTCATTCCCATCCTCCTTTCAAGCCTCTCCCCTTCCTGTTCACAGAGCTTTCTTTCCATTTCATCATTCTTTTCTCATTTTCCTTTCCGTTCTTTCCCCCTCCCACTTCCCCAGTTCCCTTTTACTTTTGAACAATTTCTTCGTGTTTCACAATATATACTACTACCTTTTTTTTCTTTCACTGTGCAGTTCAGGCTGGCCTTGAACTCACTTTGTAGCCAGGACTGGCCCCAAAATCACAGCGAGCCTCCTGTCTCGGCCTCCCGGGTGTTGGGATAACAGGCGTGCGCCACCATGCCTGGTTTATATTATACATTTTTGTTCATATTTACATTTTCAGTTTTCCGTTTCTCACCAGAGAGAGAAAGAGAGAGGGAGAGATGGGATATTCACATTTTTAACAGCAACGCAACGGTTGCCGCTCAGCACATGTCTCCCCCACAGTGCTGCCACGACTTCCGTGGCTGTCCAGACCTGGCAAGCAGGGTGGCGGGAACATGTGACCCAGCCCTCAGGCAGGGGACAAGTGTCCTAGCGCCCAGCACAAGGAGCTGCTAAAAGTAGGGTGAGACCAGCTGCCCCCAGAAGGAGATGCAATGGACAAAGGGACCCCATGGGAAAGAGACCCCTAGACTGGCCGTCCGGGGAGACGTGGAACCATGTCCTGAGCCTCCCACAGGTAAGCCCTACCCCGACCTCCTAGGTGCTTCAGCCGGACCCTGCCCAGGACAAACACGTGTGTGACAGAAAGGAAGGAGGGGCGGGGCGTCCTCTTGGGACACCTGCTGGAACCCGGCTCTGCAGGAAGCCTGTCCTGCCCCAACTCTGAAGGCCTTTCCATGGCACTGAACCTGGCCCCACCAAGACCGTGTACACCCCTAGAAATTGCAGCTGCTGCACGAATGGACACAGCCATGCCCTGGAAGAGGTGGAGAGGGCCTCCTCATGCCGCACCAGCTCACCAGCAAGGGCCACAGGGTCTGTCCCCTCCCCCGCCTCCCAACAGGTCACCACGACCACTGTGGCCTGCCCTCCCACAGACGGATGGGAAGGGTCTCTCGGTGGTGGGACTGTGCCAGTGCACACGCTCACTGTGCACTCTGGGTCTCTCTCACTCCCAAAGGCTCAGCAGTTTAGAGTGAGGCTAGCAGACTACAAGAACCCTGCGCTTGACCGCAGATTCCTTCATACGTGAGCTCAGGACCGACTGCGCTGTGGGGAGAGGGAGTCCCTGGTTGGAGGTGGAACCCGGAGTGGACCCAGAAGGCCCGTCTCCCTCCCGACTCCTCCCTTCTCATTCGGCTTCCCAGCTGCCTTGAGCATAGCAGCTTTGCTTCACCACATACACCCTTGCACCAGGACACTTTTGCCTCTGAGCCAGCGAACCATGTACCGAATACCCCGAACCGTGAGCCACATTAAAACTCTCCTTATGTGGTATGTGTTGGGTGTTTGGTCCCAACAACAGGAAAGCTAATACACTGTATCCACAGGTCAGTCATAGCTTTACCTCCTTCCAAAGTGGTGACAACGCACCCTGCAGAGGGCCCTGCAAGGCAAACCCATCCCCAGCACTGACTGTGGCAGAGGATTGGCAAGGACTGAGATCCGGACCCTAAGCCTCCATCCCACGAAGGAGAGAGAGCCGAGTTCCAGTCTTCTCCCATCAGCGGCGTGCAGGTGTCTGTTTCCATGTGTCTCTATGCACATGGGCACGTGTGTACAAGTGTGGTACATGCAGCATATGTGTGCATCCGTGTGTGGGTGCACGTGTGTGTCTGAGCGCCTATACATGTGTGCATAGGTCTCACAGACATGTATGCATGTACACATCTGTGGCCGCCGCTGCTCCCAAATCCCACCCCACTTCGGAGACAGCTGCCCTGGCTTGGGGTTGCTCCACCTCCTCTCCCGGTCACAACATGAACAGCCCTAAGGAGGAGCAGTCCTAGGTGGAGCTCTTTCTACACTGTGTGTCAGTGACGGATGTGCCACTCTGTGATTCGCTTTCCAACGTATGGTGATGTCTCCAAGATTGCTCTCCACTGTTGGGGGAGCTGTTTGCATGCGGTGTCACCACACTGTGCCCTCTGGGGGCCCCAGGCCATGTGCACACCTTTCTGGCACAGAATGGCACGCAGGTGTGGGGACCCGGCTTTCGAGGCTGAAGACTTTCCCACAGCATTCTCACTGCTGTCTCCTGAGTCGCGGGAGTGCTCCGGCAGCTCAGAGACCAGCAGATGGGGAGTGGGCAGATTGTGGGCTTTAAATCTGGGTTTAGGGCAGGGGAGATAGCTCAGTAGAATAAGTGCCTGCCTGGCAAGCACAGGATCCTGAGTTCAATCCCCAGTACTGCAAAAAATAAATAAATAAATAAATCTGGGTTTAAACGGGACCGGCCAGACAGCTCAATGGATTAAAGTGCCTGTTTAGGAACAGGGTTCCATCCCCGGCATGGCGGCCCTGCCCCCAGGGCGCACTGAGAAGTGGCTGACACTGGATGTGGTGGAGTGTCCCTATAATCCAAGCGCTGGGGAGGCTGAAAACAGGAGTTTAATCTGTGTAGTCAGACTCATCTCACTATGAGTCTGATCTGTGTAGAGAGACCCTGTACTAAATACAAAAAATAAAATCTGGGTTTAAAACATGGGTTATGGAGCCAGGGAGATGGCTCAATAGGATAAGCGCTTGACTGGCAAACGCAAGGATCTGAGTTCAATCCCCAGTTCCACCAAAAAAAAAAAAAAAAAAAACAAACATGGGTTAGTGCTAGGATTCGTTTTGTTGTCTCTGTGGTCACTTACAAAACCAAACCATCATGTTGTCCCTTTTGGGCTGGGGTGGCACTGTTGCTATGTGACAACCCTGGACAGGCAGAAGGCTCAGTGGGAAACCAGGAGCAGGGGCACCTCTCCAGCTCCCTAGCGAGGGTACTGCGGGCGCGGTGGGCCAACCTGGACCAGCTTGCCATCCTGTGTGCTAGCTGGGGTTGCGCGCAGCAGGCAGCAGTGTGGTTTTCTGAGCTCTTTGCTGGAGCAAGGTCTTAACCAGTTTTGGAAATCAGGATGATCGGTACCATCAGAACAAACCTAGTTACGTTCCAAATCCTGACCTGTGGAAAGGGTCCTTTGGGCCAGGGGGTGGGGGGGATAGAGGAAGGGCGGAGGGGAGCGTCTGTCCAGATGCGGAGAGACCTGGGCGTGAGCTTAGACCTCGCAAAGTCTTGGGTGACCTCTGGAGGGATGCAGGTGACATGCTTGAAGCAAGGGACTCTCGCTGTTCGTGCCCCGTGGGGGCTGAATGGCCCTGCTTGGGTGAAGCTCAGAATCCCGAGGGGCCTCTGCAGAGGGCACGGCCTACACACGCTCCCACCCTTGGGTCCGCACGCCCTGCCTGCGCCCCTCCACCCCAGCTTCATAAACAGCACTGGCCGAAGGAAACCTTAGCCGCAGGTCTCCGAGGTCTGACAACTGCCTTGCTGGAGACCAGAGGCCGGAGACGTGCGCTACCAGCAGTGGCCAGCAGGGGGCGGGGCGGCGCCGGCTGAGCCCGGGCCCTTATCTCTGCCGCGGCCACCGGCAGCGTCAACGTGCTGTCAGTCACTTACCAGGCACCCACTCCAGAGAGGACGTGACTCAGTGCACAGGTTCCCCAAGACTCCCCAGCCCTTCTGGTGGCAGCTAGTCCCCGCCCCTCCTGGGCTTCCGTCCTGCTGTCAGGCTGTGTCTCTCCCTCTCCTCCCAAAGACGCTGCTGGGAGGGGCAGGAGGACACTCTGCACCTGCAGGGGCTGAGGGGGTCGAGGACCTCCTGGGAGACCCTGTGCCCACCTGCCCCGCAGCCCAGCCTGGCCCAGCACTCGGAGGACGCGCAGCTCTCCTGAGGACACAGGGGGCTACGTGGCCGTGGCGAGGCCCAGCTGGGTTCCGGGGCACAAAGGACTTGAAGATGGAGCAGCTCCCCTGGCTCCTGCAGGGCCCTGCCCTCGGGTGAGGGTGAGGCGGGCCCTGGGGCTGGTCCCTATGGCAGCCCTTGCACCGGAGAAGGTGGGAAGCACAGGGCTTTGGGGCAAGCCACTCCCCCTGGGGTGCTGAGTGGCCCTGCTGGGGTGAAGTTCAGAATCCTGAGGGGCCTCTTCAGAGGGCATGGCCCACACGCGCTCCCCAGGTCCACACGCCCTGCCTCTGCCCCTCAAGCTCAGAGCCAAAACTGCCAGGCAGGACTTCTGAGCTCCAGCATGGGCCTCGGCGCCCACCATTATGCAAACCCAGCTGGGGCTCTGAATAGCCACCCCAAGTGAGGGAGCCAAGAAGTCGCCGGGAGTGGGGGGCACCGGGGAGCCAGAGGTGTCCCGAGAGCAGCCTTCCCCACATTGGGACCTGAGCTGCCGCCTCCCCAAAGCCAAAGTGCACCCCCTGTGTCCCTGTCCACCCACTCTGAAGCTAGATGGAAGAACCCAGGCGACAGCAGGAGGCTAGGCACTCTAGGGGAAGGACACCAGGACACGTGTCCTGAACCCAGAGATTCCCATGGATCAGAATCAGAGGGCACAGGCACGGCCCACACACGCCGGCAGGCACAAGGTCTCCCCAGTCCCGCTAAGGACTCCAAGGGGAGATTGGGAAGGGAACTTGTAAAGCCCTGCAAGAAACAAGCTGGCTACCGTGGTTATCAAATTCCCTCTTTATTCACATGAATTGTATCAAATTTTAAAATCCTCACATCTTTCCCTAACAAGAGTTCAGATTCAGCCCAAAGTTCTGAAAAAAATAAAAAAATCTGGAAAGCAAGATAAAGTCACTGAAACGTGCTAATGCTGACGTCCCGTGTGGGTGATCGGCGAGGATTCCTCTCCTCTGAACTGCAAACTGTTCCCCAGATCCTCACGTGCAGTGTGCTCCGGGGGACGCCAAGGGGACCTGGACGGCAGTGTCATGGGCGGGGACCTGGGTGGCCGGGACCGAGAGTGGCGAGGGGCACTCAGGCCCGCCCCAGACTCTTCCCGATGAAGTGGCCCACCAGGCGCTGCGGCCGCTGCTGGTACTCGGCTAGCACCTCGTGCGGGCTGCTAATCTGGTCCCCTTTCAGCCGGTCCAGGAGGGTGACACACACCACGGCCGCTGCAAAGAGCAAAGCCAACACGTCATGCGCACGCGCACATCTCCAACTCAGTCCCGGGAGGAGCAGGGAGGACCGCAGACTGAGGAGTGCCCCGCCTGTCCCCTCTGGGCCCCGGGACCTGCTCATGCTTGGGCAGGGACAGGCTGTCGAGAGAGTGGGAGTCAGGAAAGCGCTGGGTCAGTGAGTTTGGGGAAGCTCTCGCTGCCCTGAAATTCAATGTCCACCTCCATCATCCATTTTTTGGTCTGGTGACGCGAAATCTGACTGCCACCAGAATTTCAAGGTCTTCAAATGCTCTGGAAGCTGCGCTTTCTGACTTGCCTCTTTCCTTGCTTCCCTGCATCCCCAAGCCAACTCAGGGCCTGGGGGCAAATGGGACATGGGGGTCCAGCAGGAAGCCTGAGGGTGCTCAGATGTGTGTGTGACAATCAAAGGGGAAGCACAAGCCGCCTCACTCAGAAATAGACGTGGAAGAAGCCAGTACCAAGTCCCCAGGGCCAGGGAGCAGGTGCAGGGCACCCCAGCCGCTGCGCCACCCACCTCGGAGGCCACAGGCGCTGCACATGGCAGCGAAGACGGAGGACTCCATCTCGATGTTGCGGATGCCCGCGGCGTGCGCAGCCCGCAGGTAGTCCTGCTTGTCCTTCTCTGTGTAGGAGCAGAGGGCGCCATCCAGACGGCCTTGGCCTGCAGCACCGAGACCACACGCACGCTCATCCGGGTGCATCCAGCACCCCCACCCCCACCCGGTCCTCAACCAGTCACTGTCCCCACCAGGAGCGCAGCCCGGCCCCCGCCCCATCTCACCCTCGTAGAAGTCCAGGGTGCACATGGTGTTGCCCACCACCGTGGCGAACTCGCTGAGGTCCCCAGAGCAGCGCAGCAGCTCCTGCACCAGCCCCTCGTCCAGGTCAGTGCTGCGGACCACCCGCTTGCCCAGGATGATCTGCTCAAACTCCGGCTTAAAGCAGGCGTCCACAGCCTGCCGGGTGATGACCACAGAGCCAGGCTCCAGACCTGGGGATAAGAGGAGCGGATGTGACAGCCCTGCGGGGCAGGGAAAGGACCCTGACCTTCTGACCTTCCTCACTCTGCTACATCAGAGTTCCAGGTGTGTTTAAGTGACCCCACCTTGTCTGCTCAAAACAAGTATAAAAACAAAAAATGGCACCAAAAGCTCTAGCCTCCCAAAACCAGCTCTGCTGACCTCCAAATCCCATGCTGGGAGAGCAACTCAATTCAAAGGTGCTGGGTTCTTCCCCAGTACTTAAAAAAAAAGGAAGAAAAGAAGTCCTGTATCAAAAAAAAAAAAAAAAAAAAAAAGATGAAGAGGAAGTCGTGTATCAAAACCCTAGACCCAAGGCAGTGATGGAGCAGTGGCAGGGCCCTGCAAGATACCAAGGTCCCAAGTGCACAGTCTTCATGAACGGGGCTGGCACCCTCAGAACGAGATTTCTGAGATGCCACATGCCTCCCCCAGAGTAATCCCACAGTGGCAAGCAGTGTGTGGGCCAGGAAGCAGGACCCCTGCCACTGGCCCTGCTGGACGCTGGCTTCACTTTCAGCTGCAGAGCTGAACAGGCTACAAGGCCTGCAGACTGAGGGTGCAGCTCCCACAGCCCAGGGGTCCAGAGCACCACACCCCTCTGCAGATCCGCACTGCAACATCGAGGTGGGGGGGGCACAGAGCTTCCCATAGCCCCCACAGGGCTGCTGCCACGAAAGACTGCACTGAAGCCTGGTGTGGTGGCCCACACCTGTGACCTCAGCATTCTGAAAGGCTGAACCAGGAGAACCATGGGGTTCCAGCCCGCCCAGGCAGCTCAGAAACTGAGCAAGGCCCTGCCTCTAAAAATGAAAATAAAAAAGAACTGGGAATGTAGCTCTGCAAAGGCGGGGTTCAATGCTCAGTAGGGGGAAGGAGGAGCAGGAGGAGCAGAAGAGCCAGGCATGAGGGCGTACACCTGTAGTCCCAGCTTCTCTGGAGGCTGAAGCAGGAGGATCACATAAGCCCGAAGCCTGTGAGACCAACTTGACAACACAGCAAGATGCTCTCAAGAAACTTTCAAAACTTTAAAAAAAAAAAATTTTAAGGGGCCGGGGAGATGGCTCAGTGGAATAGGAGCTTCCCTGGCAAGCGCAAGGGTCTGAGTTCAATCCCCGGTTCCGCCAAAAAAAAATAAAATTAAGGGGGCCAGGGAGATGGCTCAGTGGAATAAGCACTTCCTTGGCATGTGCAAGGGCCCGAGTTCAATCCCTGGTACTAAAAAAAAAAAAAAAAACTTAGAAATGTAGCCAACCAGGTGTGGTGGTACATATGCTTGAAATCCCAGCACTTGGGAGGCTGAGGCAGGAGAATCACCAGGAGTTTGAGACCAGCCTGGGCTATATAGTGAGTTAACTGAGTTAAGGCCAATATGAAATACAAAGTGAAACTCAGTCTCCGAAAAACAAACTAAAAATGTGGCCAGTGGCCAGTGGCCAAGACTCGGGTGTTTGGCTGCACTTGCTCCTGCCCGGCCACTCCCATCCCTGCTGGCCACTTCCCCAAGGGCCACTTCCCAGCCTCCTCCATGGCCCCTCCCAGTTCTAAGGTTCAGAGAGCCCTATGGGTGAATCCTTTGACCAACACAGGCTTCCTTGGGGACCCTGGGGCCATTTAGGGATTGGTACCAGTGATTTGTCACATGTGGTCTGTGACTTCCATCAACAGGGCTCTGCTCTTTGGTTGAATGTGCACTTTTAAGGGGCTCCTCACAAAGTTTCACAGTCTACCCACTTCTCCAGAATTCCTTTGATCATCAATTTCTTCTGCTACTGGTGATTGAACTGGGGCTTTGGTACTGAGCTACACCCCCAACTTCTTCATTCTTTTTTTTTTTTTTTTAATTAACGTGTTTTTAAGTGTCTGAAAGGTTTTTTGTTTTTTGTTTTGTTTTGTTGGCAGAACCAGGGATTGAACTCTGGCCCCTGCGCTTGCCACAGAAGAGCTTATTCTACTGAGGTACCTCCCCAGGTCTCTTTCATTTATTGATGAAGAGTTTTGCTACATTTTCAAGTTGCCCAGGTTGGTCTCAGACTTAGGATCCCTCCTGTCTCAGCCTTTTTCCTTCTTCATATTTTTAGGCTTTCTCATAAGGTGCTTCAATCTTTGCAGGAAGGGATGGGGCACTGAGTGAAGGAGCAGAAGGCAAAGGGAATGAGGGATTAGAAAACAAAATAAGGGCTGGGGAGGACAGCTCAGCGGTCTAAGCACCTGCCTGGCAAGCACAAGGACCCAGGTTCGATCCCTGGTTTTGCATGCTGGCCGACCTGGAAACTGGGCATGGTGGTGTATGCCTGTAATCCCAGCACTGGGGAGGCTAAGACAGGAGGATCACTATGAGTCTGAACTGTTTAGTGAGACCCTGCACCAAGTAAATAAATAAATGAAAGCTTTTTTTTTTAATTAAAAAAAAAAAAAAAGAAAAGAAAAAGGAAATGAGAACTAAAATCAGACGACCCAAAGTGCTTAACAGGAGCAGGAGCTTCATACCCGCGCTGCCGCGAGAATCCACACAGGCCGCATTCACGTAACTCCTCCCACTTCCTGTCACCCTTCAGGCGCTTCCCTCAGCAAAGCTACACCAGAACCGCTCTGGGCGGAGGAGCCCTGCCCTCCCGGGCCGTTCTTGGTCCTCCCTCCCGGGCCCGAGGCCCCGGCCCTTACCGATCCCGCCGGAGGTGCCGATGCGGATGATGGTGACGTCGGTGCACCTGGCGTGGTACAGCAGTTTGATGAGCTCATGCAGCATGATGGCGATCGAGGGGATCCCCATGCCGTGCTGGGGGAGGGAGAGGGCCAGGCTGAGGCCCCAAAGCCCCCAGCCCGGGAGCACAGACCCACATTCAGGGACTTCGGGTTTGGCGCACCGCTGCACTGGTTCTATTTTACTGCCAACTATGGTTATCAAATGAGGCCTAATCTTTTCGTTAGACTGTGACACGGCTGTGTTCGTATAGGGAAAAGCCAGGGTATGCACACGGCTTCGCACCAGCTGCAGTGTCCAGCGTGCGCGGGAGTCTCGTGGTGGACAGTCAGGTCCTGCAATTAGACCCCTCCCGAGCTGAAGAGAAAACGTGCAAACCGCCGTGCTGGCCAAGCAGGGAGCCTCTCCCCACTCGCTGTTGGAGAGACTAAAACAATCTGTTTATCAGGGTGGCTCCCAGCCTGGTGGGAAACCCTGTAAATCTACAGCACGTCACACCGCTGTCATCCTGTCCTTCCTCCCTCGCAGAGGCTCCACACCCACCTGTGGCCCCGGAGAAACTTAAAATTTTCCATCTTCCTCAGTGGGACCCTCATACCTAAACTAGCCTATTCACTACTTTCTCTTCCTTCACTTGTCGTGGCCAGCGGACTTCTCGTCCTTGACCAGGCTGCAACCAGCCTGAAATAAAGATAGCGCAGTTTGCTTTGATCCTGCCTGTGCTCGTGGTCTGGGTCTCTCCTGGGGTCTAGCCTGACACGGATGTGGATGCGCTGCGGAGGGGGCTGCTGTGCTTGGTTGATGTCCCCTTGCTGCCTGTAAACCTAAGAAGCGAGTTGCAAAGCGGGGAGGGCTCAGGACCCGTGAAGTGCGCAGGCAGCGGCCCTGCTCGCTGCCCCAGCGCTCCACACAGGCCGCCCCATGGGCAGGGGCTGAGAATCCAGAAGTTCGACAGGGGGGCAAACCGCGGCTGCTGAAGCCCGGGCCAGATGCCCACCCCACGGGCTGGAGCTGCGCCTCTTTTCTCCCTACAGCAAGTGGCGGGCCCTCCGCCTCCCAAAGACCCTGCTGGTGACTGTTTAGAGGCCTCGCGCCTTCCTGGTGCTGTAGCTGAGACAGAGCCCTAGGGCAGAGGACTCTCTTACTTTGTCTCGGTGCCCTCCTTCCCTAGGAGACGCTTCCCCGCACACAGTTACAGCTCGGTGAGGCCCTTGGGCTCCCAGGTGTGTTGGTGACTTTGTCACAGGCCCCAGTCACCACAGCAGGGGCGCGCATCTGGAGGGGGTGCCAACCCCGCTCTCTCCTGTTCACATCGACGCTGACAAAGGAAACTGCAACCTGGAGACAGGACCTCGTAGGTGAAACCCAAGCAGTCCGGGGCTTGGCACACGCACGACTGCGAGGTGGCTGAGGGCTCGGGAGTCTGGGACCTGGCTGCGGCTGTCCTCCCTGCCTGCTGTGCCCAGAGCGCCGGCTCCTGTAGCCTAACACACCTGCTACCTGTGGCTGTGCCAACAGCTGCACGTGTTTGCATTGGGAGCCGAGGCCAAGGCGGATCCCGGGTCCCCACCTCTCCCAAACAGGAGATAAGGCAGCAGCTGTCTACATGTGCGGGGGAGGGGCAGGTACTCACACTCACAGACAGCACCGGTCCAACTTTGTACATGGCATAGCGGTCAGTCCCTGAGCAGATGTTGGGGTACTCATCCCCAGTGCGGCCGAGGCCCAGCTCTGTGGCCACGTATTTGATGAAGGTGAGCATCCGAGACGAGCTTCCCCCCACACACACAAACTGCAAGGGAGTACAGGGTGGTCCTCAGAGTCAGGTCCCCACCAGGAGCAGAGCAAGCTGCAGTAAGCACAGGGTGACAGGCAGGGTGCTGGCCTCAGCCCACCTGTGGGGCCCCTAGGAAGGCGCCAGGTGGGCTCAGCTCTCCAAGCAACATGAGGGACAGCCTGGCCCTGGACACACCCAGGGGCCCGCTGTCCCCCACCTCCTGTGTGACCAGGGCCCCAGAGCCATCTGTCAGTGGGCTGGGCCAGTTCCCTCTTCTGTCACCTGAGCACCAACCCATCACCACACAGAAAGAGCCCCAGTCCCCGAGAGGCCATGGGAAGGCCCAGCCGGGCTCTTACCTGGAGAACTAAAAACCTTCATTTGCAGTGCATCACATAAAAACACATTTTGCTTTCACAAAACATGAACATTAAAAGGTAAATGAGGGGTCTGGTGAGATGGCTCAGTGGTCTAAAGCACCTACTTCGAACAAGCTTAGCTAAAGCACAGGGACTGCGGTTCAATCCCCCAGCAGCACATGCCAGCCAGCGCCGCCCCCTGGTGGGCTGAGCTGGCCACACACACACACACACCCATAAATAGATAAAATTTTTAAAAAATAAAAGGTAAATGAGCCAGTTTTAATGAGTTTGAAGATAACAGAAATAAATTATTAGTTTTCAAAGAAGATAAGAAATTTCTATAGCCTGGGATACAAAATCATTATATACTACCCAATAATAATAATAATAATAATGCCTAACAGTAATGATGGTTATTAAGCTTAATAGAATGATTAGGACTTTAGGGAAGTAGAGGATATAAGAAGTGGTCCCACAGTGGGAAGAAAATAGTCCCTAAAATAATACCACTGGTGGCAGCAGGGACACAACTCCACTGTTAAGCTAAAAGTCCTGCCAGGGAGAGAGCTCAACAGATTAAGGGCTTGCTTGGCAAGCACAGGGTGGTCCCGAGTTCCATCCTGGTACCGCAAAAACAAAAATAAGAATAATAATGAACTAAAAGTCCTGCGCCGGGGCCAGGGAGATGGCTCAGTGGAATAAGCGCTTCCCTGGCGAGCGCAAGGGTCTGAGTTTAATTCCTGATTATGCAAAAAAAAAAAAAAGAATAAAAGTCCTGTGCCAAAACTGGATTCCATGGCTTGGTTTATTTCGATTTTTAATTCCCCAGGGATTAGACATTTGAAAAGTTGTGTGTTGGGGCTCGGGAGACGGCTCAGTAGGACAAGCGCTTGACTGGCAAACACAAGGATCTGAGTTCAATCCCCAGTTCCACCAAAAAAAAAAGAAAGAAAGAAAAGTTGTGTGTTAATGGTAGGGTAACTGTGACAGATGACAGACAGTGGAGAAAATTCCAAATGATCAATTTCTGCGTTATGGGAATCATACTCCCTGATGATCATTAGTTGCTGCCAACATCTATTAAAATATCATCCTATATCCTACAAATACAGTTGCTATGCCTCAGTGAAAAATTTATTTAAATTATTTTTGTTTTATTTTTGTACCAAGAATTGAACTCATGACCTTGCGCTTGCCAGGTAGGCGTTGTGCCCCACTGCTATATCCCAAGCCCTTAAATTCTTTTTAAAGTCTGTGTTTAGGCTAATTCCCACTGAAAAATTGAAAACTTTGTAGGAAAAAAACTGAGGCTATATCCAGCAAAATGGGCATTTAAACAACTAAGCAGTGTCAAAATGCTCCCGCAATTCCAAGCAGACACAATAGAAATTCTATTTATTATGCCTGCATGCCTCGAAAACGTTTCACATTTCTGTCTCCTCTCCATGGAACATTATTTTGTTTTACTTCGTTGGGTTCTGTTTTATTTACTGAGCCAGGGTCTTGGTGCATTGTCCAGGCTGGCCCCAAACCCTGAGCTCAAGCCACCCTCCTGCCTCAGCCTGCCCCACAGCTGGGATGACAGGCACACGCCACCACTCCCCGCTCTGGAAGTTTACTTCCAGCACTGTTTCAGTCATGTACCAAATCTGCAAGCATACTTAGCATTGCTTCCCTTCTTACTGGCTAGTTCACACGCTTGAAAAGTGATACTCTGCCAAGACTAGAAACACATCAGGCCAGGGACCCGTCACCTCTCTGCTGCCTGTGGCCCGGGGAAGGCGCGCAGCACGACAGACCTGGAGGGAAGCCGGCTCCTACCTTCACGTCCCCGAACATGGCCGGGAGGTCGTGTGAGCTGGTGCTGAGGCTGAAGTGGTAGAGCACGTCCTCCTGCATGGCCGCCACATTGGGGTTGGAGAGCCGCACGAGGCGCTCCCTGGGGGAGCAAAGCAGGTGTGGGGTGCGGTTCCAGGTGCCCGGCTGCCACAGACATGCGCAGAGTGGGATGTGGGAGAGGGGAGGCCAGGCCCGGGGACAAGGCGGCCCCTCGCGCATGGCCCCACTTCCTGTCCTCTCCCTCTTAGCTCCTCACCCCAGCACCGGAGTCCACAGAAGCACAAGGAGCACACTGTTCGCTGCGCCAGAGGGGCAGCCGCACCCAGTGTGTCTGCTTCTGGGCTTCATTTTAAAAGCTGCAGCAGGGGCAGGATGACCACTCGACCCCCGAGGATGTGCCTTTCTGGTCACCTTTCTGTGTCTGGTTGCAGTAGCTGCTGCCCCTTCTGCATTACTGCGTCTACCAGCGGTGGAGAGATAGACAGCTCTCCACTTTGCTGCTTTTCAGGGTTAAAAGATCATTTGGGGTTTTGGGGGGTTTTTTTGGTTTTTTTTGCAGAACCAGGGATTGAACTCAGGCCTTTGTGCTTGCCAGGGAAGCGCTTATTCCACTGAGCCATCTCCCCAGCTTCTACAAGATCATTTGTGGGGCCGGGGAGATGGCTCAGTAGGATAAGCGCTTGACCAGCAAACACAAGGATCTGAGTTCAATCCCCGGTTCCACAAAAATAAATAAATAAATAAATGATCATTTGTGTGTGGTGCAAACATTTCTTTCGTGTGTCCGTGCACATGCGTGTGTCCGTGCATGCGTGTGTGTGTGTGTCTGTGTCTATGTGTGTGTGTGTTGAACAATGAATCCAGGGCCCTCACACTGAACTACTACATCACCAGCCTCGGTATTTGCATCAAGACCTAAGTGTTACGTTGCCTGCGGGCAGGAACTGGGGTGACCCTGACCTTACGAGGCTGTGAATGTGACCCACATGCACAGAACCACACTGTGAACTTGGACCTTTCCTGGCCTCAGGTCACAGTCCAGTGACGCTGGGCAGGTCAGGCCCGTGAGGCCATAGCACACACGACACACGACAGCCTGGATGCCGCCAGCCTGCAGCAGGTCCATGGGTCACTACCACACCATGAGCTGAGCTGAGGGGCTCCCCTAGCCTCCCTCTCCCCACAGCGCACCATGAAGGCCGCTGTGTCCAGCTCCTCCCTGTGGTTTCCATGGTGAACCAGATGAGCTAAGCAGAGGGCACTGCCCAGGGTCCCAGTAAAATGAACACCAGGAGACAGGAGGGGGGCGGGCCTGTGTCACCAGCAGGTGTCAGGAGATAACAGCAAAGCTGCAGGCTAGGGGTGACTGCTCCCCACCCTAAAGTGCCAGCCACACCCGGGCACCGTGCCACCCACACCCCAGGCACCACTCAGGGCGGGCAAGCTGGGCCCTGTGCCCAGCTGCTCTTCCCAGTGCAGCTTTGCTGACTTGCAGCCTATTTGACCTGGGTAGGGCATTCAAGGACCCAACCAGAAGCGTGTGTGGCGGGGACATTCCCCATAAAGCCCTTTCGACCTCTGGAGCACCACAAACCCCTGCAGCGCGTTGAGCCTCACTGCTGACAGCGGCGCTAACGTGATCAGGGCCCCACTGTCCCCAGGACGCCCAAAGATAGTGTGACAAGGGCCAAGCAGGGCTCAAAATGACACAGCATGGGGATGAAGACAGCCAGCCACAGGTTTGCAAAAAGAAGCTCTCTCTACACATCAGCTCCAGGACACACCCAAGAAGGAAACAGCGCAAGCCTGAAACCAGCAATGATTTCAAAATATAAAACTGAGATGTGCTGTAGCGCGTCCAACGTCCTCCAGTGCACTGCTTGGAGGATTTTCTGGTTCCTTTTCTTTTGATGTCTTTTGGAGACAGGGTCTCACTATGCAGTTCAAGCTGGCTTTGAACATTCTTTGTAGCCCAGACTGGTCTTGAACTCATAGCAATCCTCCTGCTTCAGCCTCCCAAGGGTTGGGAGTACAGGTGTGCACCACCAACCCCGGCTGTTCCTGAGATTTTAAACTGCAGGGCTTTCACGAACTCAAGGGCCACTTGTCACCCACACTGACAACAATCGCTTGGGCTCCTCTCTGCAGCCTTCAGAGTCCCTCCTGCACACAGGCGTCTCAGGGTTACAGAGGGACACTGACATAGGCCCTCTCAGTTCTCCCCACAGGAGAGGATGTTGGAAGGCTCCTTCCAGAACCCTTTAAGGATTAATTCCGCTTCTGGGGCTGGCAGGCGGGAAAGAACTCAGGACTTTGGTCGTCAGTTACAATGGGGTAATCCCGGCCACAACCCAAGCTGCTCCTAAGTCAGGCGTTGTCACACATGGGCACACTGTGCCTGGCCAGGGGAACACTGCAAGGAAAGTATCTCCAGCCCGCATCAGATGGCAAGGATATTGATTGAGCCTTATCCTGTCACCTTGTCATTGAACAAGTATTTCTTGAAAACCTACTCTCGGGGCTGGGGAGATGGCTCAGTGGAATAAGCGCTTCCCCGGCAAGCACAAGGGCCTGAGTTCAATCCCCGGTTCTGCCAAAAAAAAAAAAAAAAAAAAGAAAGCCTACTCTGAAGGCCAAGGAGGCTGGAGAGGAGGCCACCCAGGGGACACAGCAGGGGAGGCTGGAAGTAGGCATGGAGGAAAGAGGAGGCAGCAAAGAAAGGCCACAGAAGCCAGGAACAGCAGTGCACACCTGTAATCCCAGCACCGGGGAAGCTGGGCCAGGAAGATCACTCAGAGTTGGAGGCCTGCCTGGGCTACATGCTAAGTTCAAGACCAGTCTGAACTGCATAGCGATATCCTGTCTCAAAAATCCAAAAAAGAAAGAAAAGAAAGTCTCCGGGGGCTTGGGGAGGGGTTCGCAGCTTCAGCTCCTCGGGCTCCAGGGCCCAGTTCCATCCCTGGCACTAAAGAAACTGATAACCACCATGGAGAAAAAGCACGAAAACAGAAGTACTCAATTTGCTTAGCGACATCTAAACCTCAAAAGCGATCCATCAAAAACACCGTGGGATTAGAGCAGGGCTGGAGGAGCAGCTCGGGGTCGCTAAAACCCCGGCCTCGGGGCTCAAAAGTAGAGTAACAACCAACTGCAAAGACAGGCGGAGAATATTTAGGGTCGGGAAACAAAGTTGCAGCTGGGCCTGTTCCCCCCGCTGTGATCCAAGCCTGCCCGAGGCCCAGGCAGGACTGCTCCGAGCTTGAGGCCTGCCTGCGCTAGGTGGTTGAGTCCCTGTCTCTAAAGCAAAAAACAAAAACAAAAAAGCCAAGAGACACAAAGTAAGTGGGGGGTTTTGTTTAACAAAAGCGGCCACATATGGAGGAGGCAGCGGGCAGCGCCCCTCCCCCTGCGGCCTGCGGCCTGCGAGTCCTCTGTGGATAAAGCCGCTGCTGCACCTTACCCTTGGTGGTTCTCCAGCTCCTTCTCCTCCGCTCCGGCTCCCTTCAACGCCATCACCAAGGCCAGAGCAGGATCCTAGGGGAAAAGCCGCCCTTAGAACACCGCGGGCCGCGTGGGCTCACAGACGGGAGGCCGCCACACGGGTGTCCTGTAGATGACGCAAGTGTGCGGAGTGTGTGTGCACACACGTGGGGAGGGGGCGCTAACTGCAGGGACGAGGTGGCAAGAATATTCTGGAAATCCACAGGCTCCACAGAGAACCGGTCCCGTCCTGGATGCCCAGCCGCGTCCCCCTCAGAACCCGAAGGCCCCTCGTCCAGTACTGCGGGACCGCAGAGAAAGCAGTTCAGGGAGAACAAAAGCAGACACCCTGAGAGCAAGAGAGGTGGGGGAGGGGGACGTCATGGGGCTAAATCCAAGGCCTTCGTGCTGGGCGGCATCCCCAGCCCTTTGTCGCTTTTTTATTTTGAAATTGGGTCTTGCTAAATGGCCCAAGCTGTGCTGGACCTTGCCATCCTCCTGCCTCAGCATCCCAGGGCACTGGGATTACAGATGTGCACCACTATGTTCAGCCTAGGGCAAGAGGGACCCAGGGGCAGAGGAACTTGGCAGGGACCCTAAGGGAGGCCCCCCTCCCCACAAAGCCCTGGAGAGCAAAGCCCCGTCATCGCTCAGCTGCAGTCATTTCACTGAGGCATCAGGAGCAAAGCCTCCGGAGAGGCTGCTTCTGCGTAGAAAACTCAAGCTCTGCCGCCCTGAGGTGAAGGTCACATGTCGAACTGGGATCCTAAAGTGCGGATCCCTGTGTCTCCAAGGCAAAACCTGAAGGGCGGCCGGTGGGACCCTAACGGCACATCCTCAGCGTACCTGGGTCACCAGAGAAAATCAGGAGCTGGATGTGGGGAAAACCTGTGCTTGCTCTCTCACAAAACCCTGTCCGGCCAGCGGGCCCCAGGGGAGGGGAGGAATTTTATCTCCACACGAGCCGGGAAAGGCAGCATCAGCCCCGTGTGGAACCCCCTTCTCACAGTGCGGGTCACAGTGGCACCCAGGACCCCTCTCACAGACAGGAGAGAAGCAGCTGTGAGGTGCTAGAAAGACTCCCCACAGTGCCCTTTGGGGAAGGACCCAGCTCAAAGGCCTTCGGTCCTCCTAGGCTTCCTGCAGCACCCAGGAAACAGATGGGGACGCAGCTTCCACAGAAACCTGACTCCAGGCTTGGGCAGCCGGCCCTGGCCCTGCTCCAGGTCCCACCCCAGGCCTTTCACCATCACAGGCATAGCCACTCCTGCAGAGAGGGGACCTTGCCCCGGGGTCCTGCAGGGTCATGGTCCCCAGGGTGGGAGGCAGAGAAACCAGTTCCCTGGACCCTCGGGCTCCTTCCAGCTCTCTTCCTGGCCCCCAGGCTGGTGTCTCTCCCCCAGCCCCACACACCAGAGACCCCGCCTACCCAACCGTGCTGGCAGAGCAGCTGCAGACCTCTCAATGGCCCCTCAGAAGGGTCCCCACTGGAGTTTGGTGACAATGCACGAAGGTTTCCCAGTGTCAGACACCCCTGGGAGCTGCGGCTCAATTAACCAAGAAAGGATCTAGTCAACTACACCATCGCCCCCACCATGGTAAGGCCGGAAGAGGAGAGAAGAGAGCCCAGCCTCCCATCTGCCAGCCTCAGAGGTCAGGAGCCAAGAGCTACACAGCCCTGCAGGCAGCTGCTGTTCCCAGAGACCACCAGTGAGCACAGGAAAGGGGGTCCTGTGCGGACCTGGTGCTCTAGAGTCCACTGAGGGGCCAGGAAGAGACCCCTCCGGGATGGGAGGGGTGTGGCTTCTACAACCCGCGATAGGGACCTTGAACTATTGCCCAGGGGCAATCTGACTTCCTTGTTCTAAATGAGGAGAAAGCCGCATGGTGGCCTGTAATCACAGCATTCAGGAGGAGGCCAGATGATCTCCCTGAGTTTACAGCCAGCCTGAGCTGCATAGTGAAGTTCAAGGCCAGCCTCAACTACATAGTGAGACCTGGTCCAAAATAAAATCTAAAATTCATCCACTGAACGTTCATGGACTTTTTTTTTTTGGCAGAACCAGGGTCATGGACATTTCTAATCATCACTTTTAAATCATTTTGTTAAAGCAGCTAAGTTAAAATACTGTAGGGGCCGGGGAGATGGCTCAGTAGGATAAGCGCTTGACTGGCAAACGCAAGGATCTGAGTTCAATCCCTGGTTGTGCCAAAAAATAAAATAAAATACTGTAGGCAGTCTGAAGCAGCAGGTAGGAAGGCAACTTACCCGCAACTGTGGGAGAGACGGGCACTCCTGCAGTGGCCAGGCCCCAGGACAAAAGACTAACCACCGCAGCCACCTACCTCCCTAGGGATGGAAGACAGGGATTGAAAGTCAAAATAGGTGTCAATCACCTTGAAAAGGCAGAGCACTAGCCCAACCCCCTCCAGGAAAAGCCCCAGTTTCTGTATTCACGTCCGCTTGCTAGGGACTTGCTTCCCCATTTGATCCCCATTTAAGCAATTTTACTTGAGCAATTAGACTCGTAAGCTAATTGGCTGACCAAAATGTTGTCCCACCTCATGGCCACTTTGCAGTTTTCTGCCTCACCCTCACCTCATAGATTTGCTCCATTAGAACCCCTAGAAAAGGTAGAGTCCTCAGCAACGCACTTGGGACCCTTCTGTCTCCCAGACAGAAACTTTCTCTTCCCAAAAAATATACTCTGCTCTTAACCTCCCTTGCTCCTAAAATTCATTCTTTGATTTTAGAGAACACAAGCAGACATCTACCAGGTTGGGAGTTTCTTCCTTCTGAACTATAGTTACGTGGCTCCTGCATATTCCTTTTCCAGCAGGTTAGTGTGTGTGCTTTAGTCCCTAAGGTGATGGTTTGCTGTTACAAATTGCACTTCCAAGTCTCCCTCCTCCGGGTCTCTGCAGCCTTCCGCTTCGGGCTTACTGCGGGGAAACCTCCCTGACCCGGCCCACGGCGGCTACTGCTGGCTACAGGAAAGGTGCAGGGGCTGCTCCCCCCAAACCACCACCACAAGCCCTCGGAGCTCTATGCATTTCCCACAAAGCCCTCCCCTGTACCAATAAGGGCGTGGACCCTTGCGAATAAGGTCAGAAGCTAACAAACCCCTACTGGGCTTTCTCCTCACACAGTTTAAGAAATTCAAATGGCTCTGCAGTATCAAAGAAAGTGCAAGGACAGCCTGAATCACACAGGAAGACCTTGTTTCAAAAATAAGCAGAAGTGGGGCCGGGGAGATGGCTCAGTGGAATAAGTGCTTCCCTAGCAAGTGCAAGGGTCTGAGTTCAATCCCTGGTTCCATAAATAAATAAATAAATAAATAAATAAATAAAAATAAGCAGAAGTGCATTGCCTTCCCCTGCATAATCTTTATCATCTTATAGTGTGGACCATGAGAAGTTCCTCTCCCTGGGCCGGGGAGATGGCTCAGTTGAATAAACGCCTCCCTGGAAAGGGCAAGGGCCTGAGTTCAATCCCCAGTTTCGCAAAAAAAAAAAAAAAAAAAAAAAAAAAGTTCCTTTCCCGCAGCAATAGACAGTAATTACACAGAGCAGCCTGGGAGACCCAGCACAGGTCTCAGACCTGTGCAGAGGGAGCCCTGCGAGGCCAAGTTCTCCCCTGCACAGGCAGCTGGGGACAGAGCCAGCAGGAGTGGCAAAGGGCAGACAGGACCCAAAGGCTTCTGTGTTGTTCCCTGAAGGTGGGAGTGGGAAGCGACTCAGGGAAGAGAGGTCCAAGGACAAGTGAAAGCCGCAGCAGGCTTTCCTCCTCCCCACACATGACAGGCTCTCACCTGCCAATTGTCCCTTTTCTCCCTTTTCACTTGCAAAGTGACTTCATTTATCTTTCAGCAGAAGCCTCTATTCACCTGGACCCTGGCTTCCGCAGTGACAGGGCCACTTGCTCCCCACACCCAAATGACCTTTTCCCTTTCCCAAGCCTCTTACTCAGATGTGCTGAGGATTCCTCGAGGACTCTGGCACAAGAGGAAGTCACTCCCAGGACAGGAGGGAATCTCCGAGGGCCTGGACACCGCTTCCGGGACTTGCACTGACAATCCGTGATCTGGAACCGGGTTTTCAAGAACAAACCTGAGCAGGAGAAACCAGGTCATCTGGTTAAAGGCCTCACAACTCTTCCCCTGCTCGACTCCCCTCTGGGCAAAACTGAGCCCTCGCTGGTTAAGGAGGGACGGAGCCCAGAGGAATAAGAGCTGGGGTGACCTTCAGTAAAAGGCATCCAGGACTAAGACATCAAGACATCAAGGGCAGAAACCACAGGCAGAGGGCCAGGGAGATGGCTCAGTGGAATATGTGCTTCCCTGGCAAGTGCAAGAGCCTGAGTTCAATCCCTGGTTCCGCAAAAAAAAAAAGGAAGGAAGGAAGGAAGGAAGGAAGGAAGGAAGGAAGGAAGGAAGAAATCAAGGGCAGAAACCGCTGGCTGGCAGAGTCCTGACACCACAGGGTACCGGCATCAGTGGGCAGCAGTCCTGGACACTTGCAGACAGGCCACGCTGGGACATGTGCTCCTGCCCTGAGCCTAGGGGCTCTTCCTGAACAGCTGCTTTCTTTCTAAAGCTCCAGTCCATTCCTCCATGGGTGACGCTTGACTGGCACTTCAGCAAGATGCCAGGCCTGAGGTGGCAGAGGATGGAGGCTTTAGAAACCTCTGTCCTCACCTGGGACTGGAAGACTCATGCCACACAGAGCCAGGGAACCTCTCAATTCTTCCAGGCACCTTGTCTCCAGCCCACCATGCCCGGGGCTGTTAACCACACACTGGGACCTGCCAACATCACTTACCCCGCAGGGACTGCTGCCGCCCTCCCCCACCCCAGCCCCCCAGTACAGCTAGTGAGGTAGAAACATTCTAGGCAGTCAGATTGCGCTGGGCCTTCCAGGGAGGATGAGATTACATCCAAAACGGCTGGAGGTACACCTGAAGATTAAAAATTCACAGTGCCAGCTTTGCATACTTCCCATTGGGAAGCTGAAGGTTGGTACCACCTTGTTTGAGGTTTCCCATATCAGTAAGCCTTGACGCCAGAGGGCTGGGCCATCTTCTGCTAAGACTAGACACAAGATTATAATTACTAACGCCACAGGTTATCAGCCCAAATTAACATCATCCATATGCCCCTGCTACTGTTGGATCAGCATTATCTGAGTGGGTTCCTTGTCATCAGCTGATCATAATTTGATGCTCACTGTGCCCAGCCCTGGCAACTTGGCTCTATAAAACCTCTTCAGAGAAATGGGCTCACAGGCAACGCCCTCCAGACCCCTCCGGTCTCTCAGGATTTATTCCTATTCTCCCTTCCCATTCGGTGACCTCCACTGTTCCTTAGAACCAGTTCTCTGGCTGCAGAGAGTCTGACACGAGGGGTTGGGGTACACGTTTGCCCTGCTGCATGTCCCTCAGGAGGGCCCCCTTCCCCTCCCTGGGCCATGCCCTGCTTATTACACCATTGGGTTTTTCTTTTAAGCTTTAACCCATTAAAGTAACACAGCCAGGCGGTTCCCGTGCATACACAGTGTGGTAAACACATTTTGAATGACTGCAAGAGGAGGAGGAGTGAAAGGAGGTGCAGGGGAAGAAACGTCCGTGTTTCTCCCTCAAGAGCTAGAAAACCTGCGGGTCTCTTTCCGCTACATAGCTGTTTTCTGTTGTTGTTGTTGTTGTTGTTGTTGTTGTTGTTGTTGTTGTTAACAACATATTGGCATCAATTTACATTCAGTAAACATAGGCACAGGCACACTGTGAAAAGCCAGCAAGAAAGCACCACGTGGATCCTTCGCAGCTGAACGCTGACTTTAAAGCCCGCAGGCGTCACAGCTCCCAGATCCAAGATTACGATTTGTGCCCCTAAACCTGCGCTGACCTGGATATCTGGAGGCCTCGCAGAGGGACAGGAGGACCGCTTGGCCTCCAAAGAAAGGAAGGAAACAAGCTTGATTGGCAGAGAAGTGGGGAGGCCTGGGCCAAAACGCAGGCTGCACCCGAAGGGCACAAACTGAAAGGCCGGGCCGACAAAGGCAGCCGCGGGGGCCTGGCCGCAGCTGCGCACATTCCTTCTATTCAAGGGAGTCCCCGGGCTTTCAAAACGAGGCTACCCGAATGAATGGGACCCACGGTTCCGCGCAGCCAGAGAACACCAGCAAGTGGGGAACCAAAGCACAGGAGGACAGGCTGGCGGTGGGAGGATGGAGGAGAGGGGCTACGGGACCAGCGAGTTTTCCCAGGCCCGAACTCCGCCTCCAGGCCCGCGTGGAGACGCCCCCGCCCTGCCCTACCCTTCCTGACAGCGTTTCCCTGCAACTCACCCCGGCGGCAGCTGCCCGGAGTGCGAGGAGCTCTGAATCAGCGGCAGGAAGCAGGCAGGAAGGCTGGCGCTGGCTTCCCGAGACCTTAGTCACCTCGCAGGCCCTGCAGGAAAGGGATAGATGTGTGACACGGGTCACTCAGCCCCGGCCCTGCGGGCGACCTCCGGTCGGTCCGCGACTGCCCTGGGCTGCGGCCCCCTCGGCCCAGGTCTAGGAACAGGTTGCTGCACAAGAGACTTGCAAAGGGACGCGCTTGCCGCGCGAACGAACCGCTGTTCTCTAGCACCGTGTGGCGGAAACGTATTCGCGCGGGAACGTTTCGGTCAGTATTCACTCGTGCACCGCTGAATCTGCCCGAGCGATGACAGTTCCTGTAGTAATCGATCTGGAAAGTGAAACTGTATCGCTTCTTGCACCAAAGGCGGCTGGGAACACATCACTCCAGCCACCTCACCAGGGCTTGGCGCGGTGCTTGGGGTCAGGGTGGGCTCGCGACGCTGCAGCCAGGGGCCCTCGCTGGGAACCCCACGACCGGCGGCAGACAGGGTGACACCGAGAGGCGCACGTCCTCACACACACACACCCCGCCCACGTCCTCGCGACCCAAATCATCGCAGCCCCATCTCCGCGCAGCGACACTGAGGCCAGGAGGAGCCCGGGTTCCCAAAGCCAACGCTGAGCTCGGAGCCCACCCGTGCCCCACTCACCGCTGGGCAAGAGGATGGCGCCGCCGTACCGGTGGCAAAGACCTGGCTCGGGCGCCGAGCACGGGCAGTGTGAGGCCACTGAGCCCCGGGGCAGGACGCAGGGGCCCAATCCCAGCCGGTGCGCCCCTCCCCGCACGGTCACCGTGATCCCCGCCCCGCCCCTCCCCGCCCCGCAGGACAAGCCGTGCGCGCAGACCGTAACTTTGTTGGCACCCCTCCCGCCCCTCGCAGTGCTGCTGTGCCTGGGCTCGCAGGGCGCAGGACTCACTAAGCCTCTGTCGGCCCAGCCAAGGTCCTACCTGCCCTGTGGCGCGGGACACTTGCTGGCAGGGGCTCTGGGACAGCCAAGGTCACTCTGCCTGGAGGAGTCCCTGCTGGCCAATAAGTACGGGTGCCACAGCCCCGTGCAGAGGCTGGTCGGGAAGGTGGGGCTGGCAGTGCTCAGCCGTCACTCAGTCTCCTTGCCAGCTTCCGTTTCTTCTGCGCCCTTCCCGATCCTGGGAGTCCCCGGGAGCTCAGGGAAAGCCAGCAAGCGCTGGCCCGCGAAGGGGAAGTGACTCAGACACCGCGAATCCTGCCAAGCTGTAGCTCATTGCCTGCGACAGTTGACACTCGGACACCTCGGCAGTGCCCAGGCCTCTGCCTGCTTCCCTAAGCGGCACCAGGGCCGGGAGGGCCGGGCTGACGCAGCCCAGACGCCCAAGCTGGCTGGTCCCAGAAGCAGGATTCCAGGGAAGCCCTGAGCCACCCTCCCCTGTGCCCCTGCTCCTGCTCCTGCTCCTGCTCCTGCTCCTGCTCCTGCTCCTGCTCCTGCTCCTGCTCCTCCTCCTCCTCCTCCTCCTCCTCCTCC